CTTAGATCTAACATATTATAAACTGAAATTAGGGTTTAGAGAATTACCTTTGATTGTTATGTAGCAATAACAATCTCAAATCCTCCTTGTAATGACTTTAGAAAGCTTAGAGTCACAAGTGTCACTCCTCTAATGGCTCACAAACACCAAGAGCAAGAGGATGAAGAATAAGGAGAAAGGAGGCTGCCCAAAACGTCCAGAAACCCTAGTGGAACTCTTAGCCACGTTTTTGGGGCTTAAGGGTACTATATACACATGTAGGCTATTAGGGTTTTCAACTAGGAAACCCTAATCTGACTGCTTAAGCCCTAAGCAGCCCATGAACCCTTTTAGAATATCCCTTGGACGATTTCTAATGGGTTTCCCCATAGAATTCGTCCAACCTATTATTCCAAGGTGATCCATAGCCCAAATGCAATTATCTTATAATTACAGTTCCAGTCCCTTAAGTTTAATTAATCTCTTTTAGCCACAAAATTAATTATCAATTAATTCTTGACTAATATTAATTAAACAATATGATTTCTCCTTTAATATATTATTCTCATAATATATTAATAAATCATAATTAATCCTTTCTCTCCATAATTCATCCTATCAAGTTGCTTTGGTGAAGGCAACCCAAAAGGACCATGCACCATCGGGTCAAGTACATACCAAAATAGTTATGGACTTAGACACTAATCCAACATTTTTAACATACAGCCATAAATTGCATAGTTTTCAGATCAATACACGAATCAAGTATACAACATACATGCAAACTATAATAGGTATAGTTTGGGATTTCAATACATAATTTTTACAAATTCAGAGTTTATACATTAAAACACATATAAACTATGATATACTTAGTTTATGATACACGATATACATTACTGCTTTCGAAATCGAGAGTACTATGTTAGATAATTATTCAAGTATAATTATTGTTACTATACAAGTATACAACGGATTCAAATACAAGAGAATAATACAGAACCACACGTAAACTAGTTAATATAGGATTGTGAGATAACTCTTCAAATGTACCTTGCGGGGTACAGGTTAAATCCTATCATAGTATAATCGGAGTCTCCTAGAGGGAGAGCGTGAGATTTGTGAATAGATCTATTCGGGACTGACAATCCCACACCTGAACTGCTAGCTACAGTTAGGAAGGCATGCCTGGGGTGACAAATGTCATTTATCCGACACTTGAAGAACGTCGTAAAGGTCACTAGTTTATATCAAGCATGGTTATACGACTCACAATAGTATAAACTAACCTTATTGTTTACGGGATTTCATTCTTAATTAGTTTTATTTTTCATTAATAAAACTGGTTCATACTACAACTGGAGGATTCCAGGGATTTCAACTCATAGTTTTATTTTAAGTAATGAAACTACTATACATACTGGTGGTAACCAGGGTTTTTCAAACAGGACATTCTATACATTACTGGTGATAGCCAGGGTTTTCATACAAAAGGTTTTTCATTCAAAACAACGATATACAATACATTTGGTGGTAACCAGGCATATAAGTTAATACATCGTACACTACTACAGAACATAGTATCAAACATATATGTTAGAAAATATCGGATTTTCTTGGAAAGCATACATACATTTTACTGATTCAACGACAAGTTTTCATTACAAAAACATGCTTATGAACTCACCAGCTTAATGTTGATACTCTTTTCAAAACTTCTTGTATTCTCAGGAGATCAGTAGACAGGTACCTCAGCAGACTTTTGAGAAGACAGAGCATATAGAGTTTCGTCTTTATTTTTGCTACTTTTAATGTATATAAATATGAATCAAACAGATGTAAATATCTTTTCTTATATTCAATGTAATGGTTGTGTTACTGCGATTACTATGATTCAATTGTTATGATACTACATATGACGTCATCCACCCCCGAACGTTTCCGCCGTTCCGGTTTGGGGGTGTGACATTAAGACATCTCCTTAGGGTCATATATGAGCTTGGAAGTCCTTATCTTAATCATTAAGAACTTTTGTGGGAGTTTTGGCTCTCTGCTGAGTACACTAGGCATACATAGGAGTACGATCACCGTAATGTGTGGTTTGCGCATTAGTAGCTTGTACCGTGTGCTTTGGGGGTGCATACACGGAGCGTACCCTTGTGGTACGCGGGGCATACTCCCCAGTATGCCAATTTTGGGCCTTTTAAGGTTTGAGCCTTGTTGGGGCATTGGACTTCTGGCTTTGGGTTATGGATAGACTAAGGGCTTTCCTGGAATTAGGTCCATGATGGTTTTTGGGCTCAATTAGGAAGATGGACCTTATTGGGCCTTGGGATGCCATTTAGGGATTTAGGCTTTTTTAGCAAATGGGTTGGGCCTTGGTTTTGGGCCAAGTAAGAAAATGGTAAAATGGCCTTTTACCCTTAAGGAATTGGGTATTGGAGTGGGCCTTGGATTTTGTGTTATCGGGTTAGTTATTAATTAAGGTTGTAGTTGGTGCAAGCTTATCCGGTTCAGCGACCCGAGCAGTTATATGGTTATCAGCGGATCGAGGTGAGTTCCTCACTGTATTTAGCAGGTCGAAGGCGCCAATTCCGGCTAAAGGTGCACAAAGGCAGGATCCAATCCGGTTTTGATTACGTCATGAAAAATCCAATCCGGTCAAAATCGGATCCGAATTCGGTCAAAATCCGATCCAGTTTCAACCAAAATCTGAATCCGATTCTAATCCGATTTCAAACCGATTTTTACTGGGTGTTAGCGGATTTTGGGGCGGATTTGGATCCGGTTTTTAGCGAAACCGGTTTTTGATCCAATATCAAATCTAATTTTTTCCGTAGTATTAGGATCTGGTTTGAATCCGGTGGATTCGATCCAATCCGATCCGGTTTGGTCAAATCCAGTTTTGACCAAAACCGGTTTTCGGATCGGACCGGTTTCAAATCGAGGATACGGTTTTGGTGTGCATCTCTAATTCCGGCCCATGGATTGTATGCTTAGTATGCTAGTTGTCTACGTGACTCTTACATGTGATATGTGTTTATATGTTACCAGGAACGGCCCGATGCCGAGCGGGGCCCGATATCGGGCGAGCCCCACTATATGTTTGATATGTATGGTATGTGGTATTTTGGGGAACCCGCTAAGCTTCGTGCTTACGTTTTTTTTATGATTTTGGTTTCAGGTATTTCCGGTTCGAAATGGAAGGGCCCAGCTTGATCGTAGCGCATCCACTCATGTTTCCGCAATGTGATGATTTTGGGATTGTGCTATGATTATTGTTTTATTATCAAATACTTTTGGATGTGTGGATAAAAGATAAATGATGTTTTGATTGAACTAAAAATGAAATTTTTACACCTTCATTTTTCGGACGTTACATGGGAAGTATTCAGGGAGTACTCAAATTTGGTGAATTGTAAAGAAATTAATTTTGGAAAAATTATATATATTAAAAATATCATAAGTTCATTCAATTTTATAACAAAACAACATGTTTAATAAATAACTATATGATATATGTTTAATTTCATATTTAACAATTATAGTCGTTTGTTAAAAAAAACCCGACTTTGACCGCGTTTGATTGAGTTTTTCCAAGTTTGACCGAATCTTTTCGAATTAGTCAAGTTGGATCGGTTTGCTCTGAGTTTGACTAATTTCGATTGTTTGACAAATTTTCTGAAAAACACATCGGTACATACCCGATTCCGAATATTCGGAAGTAAGTCGAGTTTTACAACACTGATTTATTTATTATCATTTAATCATAAACATATTGGTTCACATTATAGGCTGACTAGATTGGAAATACAGTTATAGGAGATAATTCCCTTATTTTCACCTTCAGATATATGCAACAAGGATATCATCCGTGTGTTACACCATGTTCCTTCCCGAGTTTCATTAAGGGAAGGAAGTTGAAAGAAATGGAAAAACAACTTTCCATCCTAACTTACCTTTTAATTTGTAAAGAAAGAAATTTTCCTTTCACTTCTCCAACTCGAAAACATAAAATATAATTTCTTGCACATTCTTTTCTCTTAGTTTCTTTTCCTTTTTTTCTTTACTAAAACTTTTTCCTTTTTTTCTTTACTAAAACTCAAAAACTAGGAATGATTATAAAACATCTATAATTGGCCGTCAATCGGCTCTTGTCTAGTTTACATTTCTAAGAAGATGGAACTTTTGAAGCACTTGATAAATATCCATGTTAGCATCAAATACTATATGTTATTCCTTCTTCTTTTTTTCTTTTTTTTTTTTTAATATTCGTAATCCATTTATTCATTTTTGGATATCTTTTATGATTACATCTCTATTATGTGTAATAATTTCATACAGATTTCAACGTCTCTTGGGTTCAAGTTTTCGACGCTCCACATAGAAACCACCTATCATCGGCCATCTTTGGTGTAAATTCTTTTCCCCAGATACACACGAGCTTTTAAAGTATTTATAAATTTATCGTTACATGCACACTTAGCGAATTCGTTGCTAATTACATGCAGATTTGTCACATACCATCTATTTTCTAAAAAATATTGTTTTGCCATGTACTCTTTCGCAAGATTCCGATTGCCCCCATAACTCACGGATTGGCAACCGATTAGATATCCTGGTTTGTGGTGATGACGGTACATGCACCACAAAGTGTTCTGTAAATTATGCGTTTATGATAAAAGTTTTGATTTGTTACAAGCATAATATATAGCATCTATAAGTTGGTTTAGAAAAGTATGTTATCATTTTCAAACCCTTTTCAAAAAAATCTCAGATTATATTTTTAGACATTCTTCTTCATTTGTCAATCTCGTTCGTTCATATATATATATATTTTGCGCTCCCTTGATGGTGACAAAGAAAGCAACTCCATGCAAACAAATATTTTCTATATATTAAAGAATTAGCATGCAACAAAAAAATAAAACATACAATCAAAATGCAAACTTTAATGAAATAAACCTCAGGCTAGAAAAAGGAACAACATTTATGTTTCTTCCTTTCCAATCCTTTTACATCTAAAACTTGATCTGAATAGCACTGATAACATCATCACTAGCTTGGAAGGCCTTGGCAAGAATATCAGTTGATATATCTGGTTTCGAGCCAAAAATCACATTTGCAATGGGAATCACACCAGGATTCTGACTACTCAATGCTGCGATTGCAATGGCATTCGTCTTTCCAACGTTTCTTTGGTAATGTACAAGGTTTACTGGGAAAACAAAAACATCACCTTTATATAGAACTTTAGTAATATGACGGTTTTCAGGGTTTGATGTGACAAATCCAACCTCAAGACTTCCTTCCAAAACAGTCAAGATTTCAGTGGCACGAGGATGCGTGTGAGGTTGGTTAATCCCCCATGGAGCGTAATCAATACGAGCCATTGAGATTCCCAAAGTGTTGAGTCCTGGCAATTGTGTCACAAAAACTGGGGTTACCCGTGAGCCAAGGGCATTTGAGGTATTTCCCATCATGTGTAGTCCAGCAAAGTAGAAGTCGTTGGCTTGAACTAAACTCGGGTTTTTGCAAGCAAATCCGTTCACCATAACTGTTATAAGAAAACGATTATATAATAGACATCGAAACCAACAGAGCTAGAAGTAGATTTTCTAGTAATGAAAGTGAGAAAAATTAATGAAATGATCATGGTACCTTGAGCGTTCATGTCTGCAACGCAGAAATCTTGAAGAGGACTATGGTCGGCTGCCATGGCCATAGAGAAAACGAGAGCCAGAAAGATGAAAACACAAGCCATTGTTGGATCAAAAGGATGTGAAGTTGATAGATGTAATGAGTTTGTGAATGGAAGGTTTGAAAATGTAGGTCTGTTTATATACCGAAAGTAAGCAGACTAGCAGAGACGCCATGGATGATAAGCAGATCATGCCGTCCTGTGAATATTTGAAACAGTCGTATTATGCAGGCAAGGTGCATAAAGAAGACAAAGGTTGATGAGCCGGCTTGGCCCATGCATGGCAAATTTGTGGATTATGACATCAAATCTAGTCAAAAGTGTTTGATCGGCTGTTTTTAGGTTTTGTCGTGATTTGATTTCGGTTCAAAGGATTATTAGATTATATATTGTTAATTTGGGCGTACGAGTGTATTTAAGGATATGTGGTTTTGTAAGTTGTACTTCATGAATTTGTATTTTTTTTTTTGGAAATTAAATATTCTCCTACGTTTTATTCCTATTATCCTCCTATCTACATTAAATGATGACAAATATAAATTAAAATATTATTAATTTCATTAAATGTGTCATTAAATTTGATGTATTGGTATCTACGTTAACCAATTTTTCGGGTTAGAAGTTTTGGTTTTTTGGTAGAAAAATAAAACTTCTAATTTAAAATAAAATAATAAAATAAAAATAAATAAAATAAATAATTGAAAATATGAGTAAGTAATAAAATAATAATAATAGATCTTATTGCTACTTAATATTCAGAAAATAAAATAGTTTTAGTGTCAAACAAATTATTTTGTTAGAAGGGCTATTTGTATCAAATGAGTGAAACTTTTGTTTGACTTGAGAGTTGACCAAATTAGTGCCTAGAAGCAAGTTTGAAAAGCTTGGGATGGAGAGGACCATATACGAAATAGCTTAAGTTCTTTAGCTAGTTTGGATCCTTTTTAAAAAAGAATGATAGTAAGGAGGGACTATAGTCGCATACGTGGTAATTGTTGGATCTATTCGAAACGTCTTTCTTCCTCATTCTTTTCCATCACTTATTCATCCCCCTTTCCACCCCATGACCGAATTCCCTCTCTAAATCCATGGTGTTTTGATCATTGAAGTTCCTATGTGGATCCTTGGTCAAATTCTCTTACAATCTAGAATTTAGATGTTGTGATATGTCCGCTGAGCTTAACGTCGTCTCATGGTAGTCTGTATGAGTCAAGCCATGAAATCACAACAATGAAGAAGATGCGTTAGTCGAAGTCTGGGAGGGGGTCCAAGGACGAAGCTCTAACGGTTTAGTTAGTCTGGGTATGTATGTGAGAATACAAATATAAGGGTTTTAGCTGTAAGGAAGCAATTCTCTCCTCTGAAGGAGAATGATTCTTTTTATACATGTCATATGTTGAGCCTGATCCCAACGATTTCCTTTGTCTCGTCTGGGCTGACAGGACGTGGAGAAGTCTCATTGGTGGATCGTGCATCACTAGACATCCTCTCTGCTATTGGTGCAGAGGGAATAAAGGATAATGCTCTAATCATTACACTTGTTGCCGTAGGGAGCGTTCAATTGTGTTTTGGTGTCACACCCCCGGCCGAGGCGATGGAACACGCCGGCATGTGCGACTAAGTTCATGGATCACAAGTAAACTGAATATATAGCACAAGTACAAAAATAAACAAAATAGCATTCGTGTTCCATCTTGATATTTGAATACAAGGTTCTTACAGATAATAGTACATGAATTGCCTTAACAGATAGGCAGATATTACAACAGCTAGTAAATTATGTCACCTGTAATCCAATTCGTCTTGAATGTCTTTTTAGTGATTTCCTGAGAATACATGTAATTATGAGGGTCAACACAATGTTGGTGAGAGTTACATGTTTTTTACTATCAGCAATAATACTTATAAAAGTCTAAAAAGTATTTTTTTTGTAAGTATAACAATACTTAAAATTGTGTTTGTATGGAGCCTTTGAAAGCCAAAATGTATATTTGTATAAGTAAATCCATACTTAAGACTGTGTTTGTAAGGAATCCTTGATTATACTTGAAAACCAAACTGTACTGTTACATAAGTAATTCCATACTTAAAATAGTTTTGAAAGCAACCAAGCCCATGGTTTGTAGAGAGAGAAAGAGAGAGAGAGAGAGAGAGATTCCAGTTAATATTTATACTGAGTCCTATAACCGAGCTATGTGACTGGATGTACCCCCCCTAGAACGCTTCATTGGACGGTGTAGTAACAACTGTAGACACTTATCACCCGCTTTGATTGATTGGTCGAGGTTGTAGCTAGCAACCGTAGGTAGGGATGTCAACCCCGTATAGATCTATACATATGCATCTTGCTCCGAAGATTAACGGTTATAGTAGTGTGGGTATGCTAAGTGTTTAGACTCAGCTAATGAATATAGTCTCACTAAAAAGCCCTTAACAAAAGTATGTGAATAGCTCTCAACCCTAACTTAATTGTGATTAAGTCACTAGGCATAATGAATTTCATTGTATAAAGTTTATAAAAGTCGAGTATGTTTGGTATGTACGTAAAAGTATAATGTACTCTCTTTTATAAAAATATATGTTTCAAAGTAATGAACATGTGTACATGTATAAACGTTATATATTTAAACATATAAATATACATGTATAGTAATAGCTTGAATCCTTGAAATACTACAAAGTTTTATGATAGGCATTTTATGACATACAATGTCACATAAATCATATATTTTGTATCATGTAGAATTTGTTGTGTGGACTAGTTATTTCACGATAAAATAACCATCATAGGTATACGAAAAGTTTATACTAGTTTATTTGTAACTATATGTTAAATTGTAAATAACATTTTTATAAACTAGATTTACTGTATTGTCGCATAAAGATAATATATTTGTATAAACAAAATATATAGGCACATGTATCCCCCTCCGATATAATTAGAAATGTTAAAAGGGGTCTTAAGCACTCACCCTTGAAGAATGAGTTCGATTTGTTCGGAGCACATTTATTTTTGGGACATGAGTTCGAGTTGTTCGGAGCGCATTTATTTTTCGGAAGATTGACGTGAGAAACCGCAAAATCATGTTTCTTGAACTTTGAAATATTTATGTGACCGTTTCGTAAAGAATTTAAAACTATTAGGGGCCGTTGGGTAATTTTATTAATTAAAATATGACTAATTTGGTTAACTGAAATGGTTCAAATGGAATTTATGTTTGAAAATTGGACTGATTTTGTTGAGAAATCTCCATGGAAGAGACTGTTTTGTTTAAAATACACAAAGTTTGGGAAAAGGGGTTTATTTGAAATGAATATTTCAGCTGGGGGGTTAGTTGGTCATTTTATCAAAGTTAATAGCAATTAGGGCTTTTTATGTCCCATGTTTTTGTTCGATCAGGTAAATATGGCATGTTACAATTAATTTATTTATTACTTACAATTATCAAAGAAATTTTGTTGCCCTAATAGACAGCGGAGCAGATCTAAATTGCATACGAGAAGGATTAATACCTACTAAATATTTTCAAAAATCGACACATACGTTAAGGGAAGTATCAGGTTCTAAATTGGATATTAGATATAAATTAACAGATGCAAAAATTTGTACAGAAAATGTTTGCATACCTATTAATTTCACAATAATTAAAAATATGACTAGTAATACAATGATTCTAGGATATCCTTTTGTGGAAATGATATTACCACTAACTATTGATAAAAGTAAAATTATAGGATCTTATAAGAATCAACCTGTTATATTAAATTTTGTCTTTGACCCTTATTCTATCTGGGTCAATGAGTTGAATTTAAAGAAAAACCAAATAAATTTTCTTAAAGAAGAAATTAGGACTGTTCAGATAGATGAACAATTAGAACAACCTAAATGACAAGAAAAAATTAAACTTTTAACAAATTAATTTTCCTTAAACATTTGTAATGATCATCCTAATGCTTTTTGTGAAAGGAAAAAACATTTAGCTATGCTTCCCTATGAGGAAGATTTCAATGAAAAACAAATTCCTACCAAGGCAAGACCATGTCAAATGAATTTTGAATATTTAAATATATGTAAAAAAGAAATAACTTCCTTATTAGATAAAAAATTAATACAACCTTCTAAATCTCCATGGTCATGTACTGCGTTTTATGTTAACAAACATTCAGAACAAGAAAGAGGAGTACTGAGACTAGTTATAAACTATAAGCTACTTAATAAGGTTTTAAAATGGATTAGATATCCTATTCCTAATAAAAAGGATTTATTAGATCGTTTACATGACTCTTTGATATTTTCAAAATTCGACTTAAAATCAGGATATTGGCAAATTCAGATTGATAACAAAGATAGATATAAGACTGCCTTTAATGTTCCTTTTGGACAATACGAATGGAATGTTATGTCATTCGGCCTAAAAAATGCCCCTTCAGAATTTCAAAATATAATGAATGATATATTTAATCCTTATAGCAATTTTATTATTGTTTATATAGATGATATTTTAGTATTTTCGAAAAATATTCAAGATCATTTTAATCATTTGCATACTTTTGAAAAAATAATAATAAACAATGGTCTAGTAATATCACAATCTAAAATGTCTTTATTTCAAATAAAGGTAAGATTTTTAGGTCATAATATTGAAAAGGGACAAGTCATTCCTATACAAAGAAGTATAGATTTTGCTGCAAAATTCCCAGATTAGATAAAAGATAAAACTCAGCTACAAAGATTTTTAGGTAGCCTGAATTATATATCACCTTTTTATAAAGATTTATCAACCGATAGTGCAATTCTATATGATAGATTGAAAAAGAACCCTGGTGCTTGGACTGATAATCATACCCAAACAGTTAAAAGAATAAAAGATAAAGTCAAAAATCTACCATGTTTATCTTTGGCTAATCCTAATTGGGAAAAGATAGTTGAAACAGATGCCTCTGAAATAGGGTTTGGAGGAATTTTAAAACAAATTCACCTTAACAGTAAGCAAGAATTCTTAGTCAGATTTCATTCTGGAAAATGGACTCCTAGTCAAAAGAATTATTCTACTACTGCTAAA